CTGGGTGGTTGCAGCAGGTTTTGGTCACTTCCCATGACCCTGGGACACTGTGACCGTCATAAATATGAATTGGTTGCCAAGCCTCTGAATGTCAATCACAAGACCCTGGAGAGGCTGCAACGTTCCAGCTGATCGGCGCTTCTTCTGGGCTCAGCAGAAGCAGCAGGATCAGTTCTGCTTTCCAGCTGATTTGTGCTTCTTAAGGGCTCAGCAGAAGCACCAGGATCAGCGCTGAGCTCCAGCTGGAGCCTGGTGCTGATCTTGGCGTTTCTGCTGAGCCCCGACAGCCCTGCAGCTCCAGCCGTCTCTCGCTCAGGCTTGTGCGGTGCTGCCACCCATTCAGCCCATTCCCCTCTCCCGCTACCCCTTTTCTAGGATGGTCACGTACCACCTGCCAGCTGCCAATGTACCACAGGGGGTACCCGTACCACTGGTTGAAAAGCCCTGGCTTGGGGGGGGGTCTTCGTCCTGTCGGTCCGAAAGGCTCGGGGGGGTCTTTCAGAGTCTCCTCACTGAATCCAAAATGCCCCCTTCCATTTTTACGGCCCTCGGTGGTCCACGCAGAACGAAATCTCCTGGGCCAACCAAACCGGACATCTCGGTGCTCTGCTCTGGCAGTGCTTGCAAACTTGGTTTCGCAGCCGTGGATTTGTCAACGGGCGTGCGGGACTGAAAAAACACCGCCAGGGTTGAGTTCGAATGTGCTTCACAAATGTGGCACAATTGTGCTCTTCCGGCAGAAGTTGTTCTCTGTGGCCTTTAACGCTCCCCGAGCTTGGTGGCCGACGTTTCGTGACCCAACTGGGTAAGCTCCTCAGCGCTAGCGGGGAGTGGGGGTTTGCGGAGGGGAGGAGAAGGAGGAAGAGGAGGAGAGGAGAGGAGAGGAGGAGAGGAGGAGGAGGTGGTGGACAACTGCTGTGGGGTCCTTGGTGCTCTCTGAGCTTGGCGGTTTTCCAGCAGACGTTTCATGGCCCAGCTAGGTAACATCATTGGTGCTAGAAGGGAGGAGGAGGAGGAGGAGGAATAATAATAATAAGACTGTGGGGTCCTTGGTGCTCTCTGAGCTTGGTGGGTTTCCAGCAGATGTTCTGTGGCCCAACTAGGCGATCTCATCAGTGCTAGAAGGGAGTAGAGTGTGCGGAGGGGAGGAAGAAGAGGAGAACGGTGGGATTCCTGGTGTTGTCTGAGCAGGCCTTTCATGATCCATCTTGGTAACATCATTAGTTCTAGAAAGGAGGAGGAGGAGGACTGTGGGGTCCTTGGTGCTCTCTGAGCTGGGTGGTTTTCTTGCAGACGTCTCACGACCCAACTAGGCAGTGTCATCAGTGCTACAAGGGAGTATGGAAGGAGGAGGAGGAGGAGGACTGTGGGGTCCTTGGTGCTCTCTGAGCTGGGTGGTTTTCTTGCAGACGTCTCACGACCCAACTAGGCAGCGTCATCAGTGCTACAAGGGAGTATGGGAGGAGGAGGAGGACTGTGGGGTCCTTGGTGCTCTCTGAGCTGGGTGGTTTTCTTGCAGACGTCTCACGACCCAACTAGGGAACATCGTCAGTGCGAGCATACCTCCTAGAGATTGACATGTTTGCTTGTCTCTCCCCGCTGCTAATCAAGGTCGCCGCCAGTCCAGGAGGCAGCTTCGGAATGAGAAGGACAAACCTCTCCCCCCGCTTCTGGCCCGAGTGGGTGGGAACATCGAGGTGAGATTCCAGCTCTCTGGGGATGCAGTGGGAATGGTGGGGGGGAGAGGGAGGGAGAGAGAGAGAGAGAGGGAGAGAGTAGGAAAGGGAGATAGAAAGAATAAGGGGGGGAGAGAGAGAAAGAAGGAGAAAGAGGGAGAGGGAGAGAGAGAAAGAGACAGGGAGAGAGAAAGAGGGAGAGAGGGACACTGCCAGTGACGGTAAAAATGGTCTAGTTGCCAAGTACCCAAGCTCAGGGGTGTGTGTGTGTGTGTGTCCCTCCCACCCTCTCTTTCTCTCCGTCTTCCTCCCTCTTTCCCTCCCTCTCCCTCCCTCCCACTTTCTCCTTCTCTCCGTTTTCTTCCCTCTTTCTCTCCCTCTTTCTCCCTCCCTCCCTCTCTCTCTCTTCCCCTCCCTCCCCCTCCCTCTCTCTCTCCCTCTCCCTACCTCCTTCCCTGTACCTCTCTCCCTCTCTCTCCCTCCTTCTTCTCCCTCCTCTCTCTCCCTCTCTCTCCCTGTCCCTCTCTCTCTCCCTCTTTCTCTCCCTCCTTCTTCTCCTCTCTCCCTTCCTCTCTCTCCCTCCCTGTCTCTCTGTCTCTCTCTCTCCCTCCTTCTTCTCCCTCCTCTCTCTCCCTCCCTCCCTCTCCCTCTCTCTCTCCCTCCTTCTTTTCCTCTCTCCCTTCCTCTCCCTCCCATCCTCTCTCCCTCTCTCCCTCCTTCTTCTCCCTCCTCTCTCTCCCTCCCTCCCTGTCCCTCTCTCTCTCCCTCTTTCTCTCCCTCCTCTCTTCCCTCCTCTCTCTCCTCTAAGTCATGGCGCTCTCTCT